GTCTGGTTCCAGCCCCGTTCCCTGTTCCCTCAAGTACCGTCAGTTTCTCTGGTGCTGGCTCTGAATGGGTCATGCTCAAAGGCTGCCTTAGGAAGAGAGAGAGAACAAGGAGGGCTGGGCAGAGATGCCTGCTCTTTCCTTTTTGTTTTTCAATATGGAAAAGCTTGATGTGGAAATTTGCTTTCCCTCATTTCCTAGAAATGCATACTTCATAGCTGACTCCTTTAGATCCCACATTGCAAAAAAAGCATCACCTAGTCTTTTCCTACAGTCCTACCTGACCTGAGCACCTCCTAGAAAATACAAACGAATGATTGCTAAAGGAAAATGCATGAATCACAGCACTGTACCTTTAAAGGACCTGTCCCTTTGGAAGGCATATTTACATAGAAACCAACTGTATCTATCAGAGAAGAGGTTTCTCATAGTGACTGCAATACCCCAGGTCACAGGATCCTGTACTGTGGTAGCATCTAAAGATTATAGTAAACCATCGGCCTAAAACTTCTCTTTTGTTTGTTTGTTTGCATGTTTTTTTTGAAACAGGATTTCACTATGTAGCCCAGGCTGGTCTCAAACTCACAGCAATCCTACCTCAGCTTCCAGAGTGCTAGGTTTACAGAGGTGCACTACCACACCTGGCCTAAGACCCTTCTCTAAGGAGTCATGCTTCCATGGTGTAAAAGGGTTTTTTCTTTTCCTTCTGTCTCTTACTGGTGTTAACTGATTACAAAAAGGAGGAGAGGATGGGCAGAGCCAGGTTGGTACCAGTTGGAAGAGAGTTTTTCTGTTCTAAGCTTAGGGGCAACTCCCCTCCGTCCCTTTCTTCTCCACAGCCCCCAATGGCATCATTGCCTCCTGTTACACCTGGGAAATCTGTGGCTCGGGAGGTAACTCAAGCAATGAATTCACTGCCGCTGCAGTGCTGAGCCAGGGTTGGGAAGGATGGGCCCACCTGGCTGTCTAGGGGCAGCGCCACAGGGGATTCCCTCTGGGAGCTGGAAGGCCTAGGGTCCTAGGAAGGGAAACTTGCCAGGCCAGGATTTACAGCCTGCACTGGCTGCTGTCCACCTGAGGAAAGCTTTCTGCTCCTGAGTGGAGAGTATGCAAAAAAGGTAGTCCCTGTTCTGAGCAGGGTGGGGAGGAAAATCAGAGTGGAGGAGAAGTGACTTCACAGACAGTCATCTGAGCCCTTCTTGGGAGCCAGCTTGACAGGTAGGAGGGTATGTGTGTGTGTGTGTGTGTGTGTGTGTGTGTGTGTGTGTGTGCACGCGCACGCCTCTGAAATACACATTGTTCTGGTCTAATGCTCTTGGCAGCAGCTGTCTTGTGGGAAGAGACCACAGGGACAGAATGACCAGCCCTTCCCCTCCCCTCTCCCTTCAAGCTCTAAAACAGGGAACATTCTGTCCTCAGCCCACCCCAGGCACCCGATTGACTGCTGCTCCCTAGGGGAAGGCAGAGGCCCCTCACACAAGCCTTGGTAGTGGTCAGTCAACTGACCCAACCTTGTGAGCACTGAGCTGAAGAGTTTTCCGTGTCTTGTAATCACTGTTACTTCTTGGAATCTGGCCTAGTAAGCCATTGCTCAAGAAACCACAGTGTCAGACTGAACAAGGAGGACTCTAGGCACTGGAGAGATTCGTGGGTGGTTTCCAGTTAGCAGAGTCTTTCACTAACTCTTGCCTTTCAGTCCTGTGGGTTCACCCCTTGAGGCTCTGCTCTCTCCCTGGTCACTTTCTCCCAGTGACTTTCGCTGCCTGCTCATTGCTGCCCCCCACTTCCTCTGAGTTCCTCAGGGCCTGCTTACTGTATTGGGAGTAAGATGCACCGCTGTGTTACACCTTCTGAGCCCTCTCTCTGGGTCCTGGCTGTTTTATTCTGTTAGTCGGTTGTCCTGTTCAGCCGTGTTTCATGTCCTCTGTTGTCCTTCTGGGGACATGGGATGGCTGCATTATAGACAGCTGAGCTGGATAGAAGTATTATCGGGTGTCAGACAGGGCTGGGTCCTAGAGGAAGTCAGTACAGAAGATGAAAACACATTGCAGCTGTGGACATTGGAGGCCAGGCCTCATGATACAGACAGAATGACCAGGCCCACAAGCCTCCCCGAGAGATTTAAAATTAACCTTCATATCAGTCTCTCTGGTGGGTGGTTGGAACTCCCTGATGCATCTCTTCCTGAAAGGTCTTTGTTTATTCTAGGTACACTAGCCACATGCTCTGCCTCCCCACCTAAATGACTAAACTCTCAATCTTACTGCTTGATCATAATTTCGCCCCACCTATGCCTTCTCAGTGATTTTGCACCTTTGTGATTTTACTGTATGAAACTTAGTTTGTAAACTAGAATGCATGGCAACACATTTTCTAGGCCCCTACCTGTCCTTCTCAGGAGCTGGCTCTCTCAACAAAATTTTCCTATTCTTAAGTTCTATGGCTCCTTAGAATTCATCTTATGATTTTGAGGAACAGGAACTTGGTGTACCTCTTGCAGATTGGGAGTTACATTTATTTCCCCTCTATCAACTGCCCTCCTTCATATTCCTTAAATGGAGATGTGACCAGGTGTGAACAAAAGAGACCTGAGAGCTGAAAGGGTTTTGGCCCAGACAGGACACTGTAGCTGGTAAAGCCAAGGAGTTACTATCTCCCCCACCCTTAGGAATCTACCTCTGGTGCCAAACAAAGACCAATGGGCTACCTGTGCATCCTTAATGCCCCCTTAGGTTCCACCCCAAGCCGAGGCTACTTATGTACCCCCCTCCATGTGTTCCACGGAGAGATCACTGGCCCCGGGGTGGAGATGCCAGCCCCAGAAGGTCGGGGGTGTCTCTCCCCACATTCTCAAAATAAAGGTCATTTATATTTCATACTTCTTATCTTTTCAGCCGCCGCCGCCGGTCCCCCACAGTTCTATCAAGAGCTGGTACAGTACTGCTACTGCTCTTCTCCTGCTGCTCCCATGAGGGTGACCAATCGTGATACAGTGGTGCCAAAGACTGGTGATGAGATTAGGGAAGCCTGAATTGCTGTATTTGGAGGAAAGCTGCCCTGGAGATGTGTTCAAATGCATAGTGGACTTTTCACAAGTGGAAAACAAGATCTTGCTTATTACCAGAGCAAGCATAGCTTACCCTGATTGCCGTGCTGCCTTAGCATCTGCTGTCTTCCGTGGTTACAGGGTTTGAATCACTCTGGTTGTCTTTGGGCTCCTGAAACAATGCAGGATCTTTTGTTTTTCAGAGTCATTATATATCCTGTTCCCTCTGCCTGAAATGATCTGACTTCTAAGCATGGTTCATTTTCACTCTTACAGAGAGTGCATTGAAAGAAAAATAAAAAGTCAGTGTCTAGAAGAGTTCTACAAATTAGGAGAGATGAAAGAGTCGGGCTGTTAGGCAGGAGCAAGTAAAAAGGATATAGCCATAACTTCTAACTTATTTAACCATTTATGGAGTGCTCACTTTACAGGATGAGACATATTTTATGTGTTGGGAAAGTGAGGTAAGTCAGACATTCTCCCCAACTTAAAGGAATACATAGACATGGAGGGGAGATCCCAAAACTAGGATGAGTGTGAGAAGAAGGTTCAGGAAGCAATGTTACCTGTCACAAATGCTGAGGAGACAAAAGAAAGGAAGTTTAGGTAGGAGAACATGCTTAGCGATCATGGCTAGTGATCCTCAATTTTTGGGGCAGAAGAGGCTTGGAGGAGGCTGATGACTGAGAGGAAGGTGTAATGAACCTTAAACCAATAATGATCCTTGCCTCTTATTGAGAATGTCAGGAGCTTTCACATACATATTAAGTCCAATCCTTCCAAAAGTGAATGCTGTATTCCTCATTTTAAAGAGAACGAAATCCAAACTGAGAGGTGAGGTTGGGTAACCCAAATCACACGTCAAGAACAGCTGGACTAAATTCAGCCATGCTGACTCCATATCCCATGCACTCCCCATTACCTCATGTTATGCTTTGTCCAGATGTCCCCCCAGAGCCTTATGTGATGAAAGGGTTTTTTCAGAGGTGGCTGAATCTAAAGTGTGCGATTGATTCTAGTGCAATCCTGGGATTAAGGGTGGGTGATTGCTGGATCAGTCCACTGATTGGATTGGTACCACCCTAATCCCAGTAGACTAAATACTACATAAGGCACAAAAAGAAGCCTGTGTTGCTCTCTCTCTCTCTCTCTCTCTCTTTCTGCTTTTTCTGTTTTTCACCACCAGAAATTTTGCCCTTTTGCCCTTTTGCCATGTGCCACTCTGTCTTGGAGTCAGCTGGTTATACACTGAAACCTCCACAAACTGTGAGCTAAATAAACTTTTCTCCCTTTTAACTTTGGGCATTGAGTATTTTGTCTCAGCAACAAGAGAAAAGTATGCCAGACAGAGGTGCCCTCAGATGAGGCCATTCCTGTAAGAACATTTGGAACAATGAAGAAAGGACAACTCAAAGCACTGTACAAGGGTGATTACTTTTTAAAAGCAAAGGACAATGTTGTTCTGGAGAGTTTCCTGAATTTTCATTGGAGTATGAAAAACAACTAGTACATGTTATTCATTTGCATGAAAGGAATCTCAATGAATCCCAAAACTGGAGTAAATTCCTGGATGGTTCCAGAAGAGGTGTACACAGAGAGAATCTGATATAAGGGAAAGGCACCTTAGTTTACTTCAAGGTCATTCACAAAGTTCAACATTAACCAGGAAAGACCTGCTTTTCCCCATCATCCAAGTAATACCTGCTTCATTTTGTCGTTAGGTTTCAAAACTTGTATTTATCCCAGGAAGCACATAAGTGACTCAAGTTAGGCTAAAAAGGGTGCAATGTGTAGGGAACACATTCTTTCCAAACAACAGTGTGTGTATGTGTGTGTGTGTGTGTGTGTGTGATTGCGTGTGTGTGTGCCTTATATCACTATATATCTTCACTAATTGATAGTTTTTGTTTTGGTACCCAGGATCGAACTCATGATCTTGCACTCACCAGGCAGGCACTTATATACTGCTGAACTAAATACCCAGCCAATAATGGACAATTTTTAATATGACATCCATTTATAGCAAGAAGCAAAGAGAAAGGAAGGAAACAAATCTGTGATGAGCTGGAATGTGTAGTCTCAGTGGCAGCTGTCAGATGACCATCCTTTTCTAAAGACTCCTTAAACACTCAAAGCAATAGATGATATTGGCCTGACTCTCTTTACTCAAGAAAGACTCAAGATGAAGTGAGTGAATGCAGTGACTTCTGCCTGAATGTAGTGACTTTTACATGAGATGTCCATCAAGCATAGCAACCAGAAAAGCTTTTCTGAATTCTCGAGCTCGGTATCTGAAGAATCAGAAACTAGTAAATATGAGTTTGCTAATATCCATTAATCCCTGGTCATTGCTAAGGCACTCCATTGGCTAATGTTCCTGCTTCATTTTCAAATTTTTCCACATTTGGGAATGAAGCTGGTGTCCTATAGGACTCCCTCTCCCCAAGGAATGAACTCCATAGCAAACTCCTGGGTCCACAGCAATGTCTTATGCAAGCAGAATGGTGCTGCATTGATTTTTTTTTTTTTTATTATCGGTACCGGGGATCGAACTCACGACCACCTGCTTGCAAGGCAGGCATTTATGCCACTGAGCTAAATCCCCAGCCCCGCTGCATTGATTTGATAGCACTGTTTCATCCTAAATGGTGAACAATCTGACCTGAGGAATCTGTTGTTCTTTGAAAGACAAGATTATGTTTCCTCTGTGAAGTTTCTCTCCCATAAATCTTACAGGAGTGAGTCCAGTTCTTGCTCACAGCTCAAAGCACAAATTGAGGTTGTTGCTTCAGTTCAGGGAGTTCATAGAAGGCTCCAGGCTGAGGTATGTGGCTGAAAAGATAGCTTCAAGCTGGACCATATAAGCCAAGATTCCGGGCAGCTTGAGAGATCCTGGGAGCTTTCCTTTGCGGAAATGGATAGTGAGCTGGTTTGGTGGGCCTGTGTGGGTTCTTTATGGCAGATGGACACTGAATGCTAGTTTTAAGGCTGGATTCTTCTTTTGTTTTGGTACTGCCCACCTGACACGGAGGCTCTGGGATGCTGGCTCCTTGATGAGTCTTTTGATAGTTTTCCAACAAGTGTTGGTCTTCTTCTAGAGGGAGCATTCGGTCAGACCCCACAAGCTGGCCCGTTGGCTTCACTTGAATATTTTCCTGGTGAAAAGCTTGGACTGAGAGGTGCATCTCAAGGTGTGTGTGCCATGGAGACTCAGCAGCCTGAAGACAGCTTCTGTCAGCTTCATCTAGCATCCTCCCTTCATCAAAAGCTGCCTCTTCCCGAGACACTGAGCTCCTTCTCTCCTTGTTAATCCAAACAGCACTGACCATGGATTCAGCAGGAGCAGCTGGGTTCCCTCCTGAGAAAAAGGGCACAAGCAGCAGCATCAATGAGACATAGGTGGGAAGCTGTCCTTTAGGGCAGGGTCCCCAACCCCTAGACCAGTCCCTAGCCTATTAGGAAGCAGGCTACACAGCAGGGAAGCTCGTAGTTCATATTAACAGCAGCTTCTCATAGTTCGTATTACCTCGCGAGCTCCAGGACCTGTAGCAGATAAGGGGCTAGGGACTCACAGGAGCCGGAATCTATGAACTGCGCATGTGTAAGGAATCCAAGTCTCGCGATCCTTTGAATCACCTCTCACCCAAAGAAAAATTGTGCAGAAGTGGTCCCTGACGCCGAAACAGTTGGCAACCGCTGCTTTAGGGGGTTCAGACATTGAGAATATTGCACGAGCACAAACACATGTAAACACACGTCATCTCACTAGTACATGCTCATTCTCCCTCCAACATATACACACTCACACACAATTAGTCATCCACTCAACATGGATTTATCAAGCACTTCATATGTACCAGGTCTCACGCATTCCAGGTTTCAGCAACACTGTAGTGAACACTGAGGCAAACCCCACACCTTCGTGCATGTGTCTTCTTATGTATGAATTTCTGTTCATATACATTCATATATATAAAATCATATTCACATATATATGAATAAAACTTGAAACAATAGACAATGGGAAAAAACAATAACTGAGGGTGAAAACCTGAAATAATGGTGTGAACTCTGGGGAAGATTGGAAGCTAGCATTTGAGACCAGAAGAGTAGCACGCCTCCCCCCCCCCCCCCCGTAGTAAAATTTGGATCTGGGATGACCTCCAAAAGCTCATATGTAACAGCTTAGTTGCCAGACTATGGCACTCACTGGGGGTGTGCTCTTCAAAAGGACACTGGGATGCCAGTCTGTCCCTGTCTTTTTCCCAGCCACCATGAGGTGAGCAGCCTCCTTTGCCAAAATATATAGTACTATTCTGCTTATGACCCCAAAGCCATATGGCCAAACAACAGTGAGATGAGACCTCTAAAACTCTGAGTCCAAATAAATTTTTTCTCTTTTTAACTTGACTTTCTCAGATATCTTGTCACAGCAACACAAAGCTAACTAACACATTCATGCACCTATATATTCATATACATGCACTGGGGAAAAGATTATTTTTCATTTATTTTCTGAGCCTCTGACAATATGTTTACCACCCAAGGCAGAGCAAATAGGAGCTGTGTTTTAAAGCAGCTCCAAGTAAAGGACTTTCCTTGGTCTTCCTTCTAGGCAAGAGACACTTTGGGGAATATATTTGCAGTACCTGCTACTTTTTTGAACTATTCTCAGAGCTGAGAATACTGACCAATGTCCCTCTTTGTTGTCAGGACCACTTCTAAAAAGACACTTTGTAGAATACAGTAGCTCTTCATGAGTTCTTGGGGCCAGTGAGTTGTGGGAATGACTGAAGGCAGGTCGATGTCCAGCCTGGGGTCTCTCTGAGATGTGAGTTAGGTTTGCTTAAGTGTCTCAGCATCTGTTACCATAGGAAGCTGAGTAGGAGGCAAAGTGCACAGCAAGAGCAAGGAGATAAAACTGGCAGAATAAAGTCTGCATCTCAGGTTCCTGAATGCAAAAGAAACAGAAGAGCAGATGCATGCGGTCGTCCCTGCAAACAGCTACACCCCAGTAAACAGAATTCCAGAGGAAAGACTGAAGACTTATTCCTGATTTGTAACTAAAACTATATTCTTAGTATGACAAGCCTGAAACCTTTGCAGAAATTCAAAATGCAATGCACTTATCTGAGAATAAAGAAAGAAAGGGATGTGAGAAGAGAACCTAGGAACTGTTATCCTGATCCAGTCATGAGTCCAGCAGGAGCAGTCTCAGGGGAGATACGCAGGACCTACTTAACTGTCTGTGCTAGCCTATGGGCCAGAGTGAGGAGAGAGTAAACTAGGAGGCCTTTGAGAACTTGATCCCAGAGCGGAACCTGCAGTCTCAGTACCCTGCAGTCTCAGTACCCTGCACGCCTTTGAGGTACTGCCTGCTCTTCACTGTCCAAGCAAGAGAACCAAGGTCATGGAAACGCACACTGTTATGGCTTATATCGCCATCTCTGGGTGTCCTCCACAGAGCCTCATGAGCTCACAGTGGGGCTGTGGAGAGTTGACTGGATCTCATCAGTCCCACTGATGAGTTTATAGCTAAATGAGAGGTTGGGAGAGGAAGCCTGGTTGGGTCACTGGGGTGTGGCCTGGAAGGGTGTGTCTTCCTCCCACCTCCCTCCATTTCTCTCCCTGCCAGGCCATGGGCAGTTCTCCTCTGTGATGCTGCTCTACACACTGCCTTGCAACAAGGGAGTCACGGCCAGGGAATGGTAAATTCTGCGGGCTAAGTAGACTTTGGGATGCTTTGGGATCATGCCCAATGAGCAGGTAGATCTGTGAGTCTGATTTGCAGGTGAGTTACACACTATAATTTGATTTGATAGGGGTTTAACTTTATTAATGTTTGCCCAATGACTGACTGAACAGATCCGCTGGAGGGTGGGACAAGGCTTTAGGAACCTTTTGGCTTATGCCCTACAGAGATGGGAGCTAATTGGCTGTTCCAGTTCAGTTCAAATGGATCCCACACATAGGTAAGTAATGAGAGATGGGCTACTTTAGTTCAGAGGTGCCCCTTTTGGAGACAAAAGACTTTGTCTTGGTGACTTTTGGAAACTCGCCTTTTGAAAACCACTTCCTATTATGGACAATGAGGTCTCTCTGGCTCCTGGGTCCTTTCCAGACTAGCCTGGCAACAGGCAGAGCATTCCTTTTGTCCTCTGCACTGTAGAAATAACCACAGAAGGGGCTGGGGATTTAGCTCAGCAGCATAAGCACCTGCCTTGCAAGCAGGCAGTCGTGAGTTAGATCCTGGTACTGATTAAAAAAAAAAAAAAAAGAAAAGAAAAGAAAGAAATAACCACAGAAACTCTTGGGGCAAGGTTTTGACCTTACAGAGGAGCTTCCCTCTAGGAGCTGACAACCACTTCTAAGCCTCATGCTCTTACTTGCCACCTGGAATTAAATCAGCACCTGTGAGATGAAGATGTTTATCTCTGATCTCAGCTCCCTGGATGCTCTCTGGAGCCAGATGAGCTTGGGTGGCCCATAGGTCCCTGATCCCAGCACTTCCTCTGGTTACCCAGCTCCCCTGATGTTAGAGTTATCAGTTTTCTTTCTCCAGAGTCAGTTTCTCTAGTTTGCAGGAGCCAGAGAGCCTCACCACCCTAGCTAGCCTATAAGAAGTGCCAAGCCCAGTTCACCAGGCTGACCAGTTTTGCAAGATTAGAACCAGGAACCTAGGTACAGAGGCCAGGAACAACACTGCTGGACAAATACCTGACTGTGGGACAGACTGAGCGGAACTGCCCTAAACTAGCCTCCCCTTCTCTAGCTTTGTTTTTAACTCAGCCAACAGCAACTTTGCTCTTTCCCTTTGGGAGAGTGGAGTGCTGTGGCTCCACCCTCCTCGAGGCTCAGTCCTCCACTCTGCCAAGACAGGTCCTGGACTCCCAACACCTGTTCAGCCTTACCTTTTGGGAGCACCATGAGGTGGGCCTGGGTCCTCTGCTGCCTCCTCAGACTTTCATACTGGGCTCGCAGGTATTGGATGCTGACGTGAGGCCCTTGCCCTGGCGCCTGAGTCCTAGTGTGCTCAGCCATAAGGTTGAGCTGGGACCCCAGCTGCCAGAAGTGGGGCAGGGCTGGGCACGGGCAGGCCAACTCCTTCATCCGGGTCCGGGAGAAAAGCAAACAGTTAGGGGAGAGGCAAGGGAAAGAGGAGGAGAAAAGAGAGGGAGGGGGGTGGGGGGAGAGAGGAGCTGGTGGGGCCAAAGGAAGGCAGAAGAGGGACTGGGAAGATAAGGAGGAGGGAGAGACTCAAGGGGAGGGAAAGGCAGAGATAGGGAGACGTTGAGAGGAGGAAATCAAAGGAAGGATCAGAATTAGGAAGAAGATTTGAGGAGAAGGCAAGAAAGGAGTAGCCAAGAAGAAAGAAAGGAGGAAAGAGGTGACATAAAAGGAGAATTAGTGGGATCTGGGAAGACATCGAGAGAGACAGAAGAGGAGTAGATGCTTGGGGAGCAGGGGGGTGGGGAGAGGGAAGAGTGGAGGACTTAAAGAAAATCACAGCTTCCAGGATCCTGGTGGGAATCCAAGCAGGCGTCTTATTCCAAGTCCTTTCTTGTCCCTCAAATTTTGAATCCAATTCCAGGAGCCAGGGTACTGGCCCCCATTATCTGACAGAGCTGGAGCAGGGATTGAAGACAGCCTGGTTCCTGCTCACTCACACGTGGTCCACTGGAGCTCGGTGGCTCATCACAGCCTGCTGCTTTGTCTCGGAGCCATCAAAGGGACACCTCCAGCAGCCCAGCAGAGTTTTGCTTGGGGTGGACATGCTGTGGCTGTGCACTGTAGAGCAACTCAGCTGCAGAGATTTCGACTCACCCCAACACACCCTAGGCAAAAGCCCAGCCCCAAAGGCTGCCATGGGGAAGGAGCCCAGGGGAGCTCTGGCCTTTAGCCAGCCCCACCTCTTTGATATTTGATGCAGCCTCTGTGTTCTCAGCATTTTCCAGCCAAGCAGTAAGTTTATCCTACCCGCAGCTAGGTGTGCATTCACGCGCTGCTTGCCACCCTGTATAGCTTCTTCCCATGCCAGTCCCCTTTGATATCTTACCAGCTGTGACTTCTTCTTGTTCCACTTGTCAATTGAACCTTTGTCTATCTTCTCCTAACATGGCACTTACAGACTGCTGCTCACCCGATGCACCTGCCCTACACAGGCAGTGGTTGAGGAGGCAGTGGACAGTAAACGGCCGTTGGGTAGCATGCTACAGTTGCAAGAACTGGGCGGCTTCAGCAACAGCCTTCCCCGCAGGGTCCAGAAGTCTAGAAAGTCATGATCAAGGGATGCACAGGATTGGTTTCTTCTAGGAGCTGAGAAGGAAACTCTTGTGTCTCTTACCTAACTTCCAATGCTGTGCTGGCAGTCTATTTTCTATCTTATAGAAGAACCACCTGACCAGGGATATAGATCAGCAACACGAGTGCCTGCCCAGCAAGTGCAAGGTCCTGAGTTCAACTCCCAGCACCAAAAGAGAAAAAAAAACAACAACAAACAAACAAACAAAAAAAAAAAAAACACCAGTCCCTGCCTTTATCATCACCTGATGCTCCCTGGGTGCCTATGGTTCCAATTTTTCCCTCTTTGTAAAGATAGTATTCACTGGATGAGGGGGTCAACCTAATGACTTTGTCTCCATTTAACCAACTCAGCAAGGGACCTGTTTCCAAATGAGATCGCACTGGGAGGTTCCCAACTTAGGCTTTCAACATGTGAATTCTGGAGGGATAAAATTTAACCCATGCCAGGTGGAGGGATGACAATTTCACACCAGAGACAGGCACAAAAGAGGAGCAAACTGGATGTCACATTTGTGATACCTATGACCTGGGGTCTTCAGGAGGGAATTAGATGCTTGGTAGAAAGATCTTAGCTAAAAATGCTGATGTCATTATTCATGAAGATGACACAGTGTACTCCTGGAGAAGTCTTATTAATACTCAGGAATGTACGGAATCAAGATATAGCCCCAAATAATTCCTTATTTTTTTTCTTTTCAGGCTCCCCTTAACCTGTTCAAGTTCATGTTCAGTGGCCATAAAGTGGCCCTCTCTTTTGCTGTCTTATTTTCTTCTTTGACCATTCTTGTCTCAGATCTTTTTCTTGGTCCTTGGTCCAGGATGATGTTACAACTATTGTAGCGGGGGAACGAATGGTCCAAACTGGGTGATCTTCAACAAGAATTTGAATATACTTTTGAATATACTCCCTGTGTTAGTATGTGCCTAAAAGAAAATTGTTTTCTTTTTCCCTGCTCATTGCAACTTTCTTTCTATGATCCTGGATTGGATTGGGCAGAGCTCCATCTGTAGAGTGGGTATGCATGCTTAGAAGAGGGGTAAGGAGGAAAAATGCCCGCTGTGCCTCATAGGAATGGAAGTCTTCACCTCAAGGTGTCAGCTGAAATCTTGGAATTGGGTGAAATTTTCAGTTGAAGACAATAATTTAAGAGAGGGAGCTTTAGAAGTGATTAACTTTTAAGGAGTAGATAGAAATAGTAAAGTAGTGTTGAAAATGAAAAATGACAGGAGAAACACTAAGAGCAGTGTGCCAGACCTTAAGGAAGGAAAGAAATCACAAAAGAGGAAGAGTGGGGAAAGCAGAGCTTCTGGATCTCCCCACCTGCCATACGGAGCAGCATCTGAGCAATATGTGTGGAAAACTGGTTTTTCCATCTGACCACGCAGCTAAAACTCCACTGCCTCAGTGCCTCCCCTAATTTTCGGGTGGCATTTGGAGGTTACTACATTTCTAAGGTTCTCCACTGCCCTGCTGAGCCATTTGGCCTGTTTTCCAGGCCCTGTGTCTCTGATTGAGGAAAAGGTGGTAGGAGAGAGCCAAAGCTCCTTCATTCCTTTTGGTCAGTAAGTCGCTATCAAGAGCTGAGGGCTAAAGGAACATGTCCAAGCTTATCCTGGCGCACCTGCCATACAATCGAGCTCAGTTCTACCATGTTTTGGCACTGAATCCTAGCTTTCATCTTTTTCTGTGTCTGTGTCTTTGTGGACATTTTAATAAGAAGCAGGCAGAGGCTATCAACTGCTGGTGGGTATTATGCCCACTAAGTCTTCCCTCCCTGCCTGCTCTCTCCTTCCTTCCTTCCTTCCTTCCTTCCTTCCTTCCTTCCTTCCTTCCTCCTTCCATTCTTGCTGGATAGAACCCAGGGTCTTACACATGCCAGGCAAGGGGTCTCTCATCCAAAGCCTAAGTTTTTTCTTTTAATTTATACGGTTCCTCTCTTTTAGCTAAATCACTAATCAGTTTGGAATTGATATTAGTGTTAGAAGGTTAGGTATAAGGCAAGAATCTAGCTGGTTTTCTTCTCCAAATAATTGCTGAATTGTTACAATGCCTCTTATTGAATAAAACTTTCCTTTCCCTATAATTTCCCCCTATGATTTGTGATAACAATGTGAGGGAGAAAATGACAGCTGTATCCCATCTCAGGGTTTACTTATGAATGAATGAAAATTGTGATGGAAGCAGGAGCCCTTCCTGGAGAATGCTAATGACTACATCTATAGTGACTGTCTCTTAGTATCCAAGCAGACCTTGTAGGGTCACAGGAAACAGGGTAGCTTGGGGTTCTGGACTCTCGAGTAGGAATGGGATACCCTGTTGCTCGAGGAAATATTTTTTTTCTGTAAATGTTCATATTATATTGGATCTGCAACATGATGTCTGTGGTTGAGGAAAGGGCCTGTGCCCAGGATAGACAGCTGTGACTAAGAAGGGCTCAGGTGCCAGGAAGTGTCCCAGGAAGCATAATTCCAAGTTCTCAGAGTTAGAGAGTAAGAGAATTGCTTCCGAAATGGAAAAGGGAAATGATGGTTACCTTCATTGATCCCAAACTGCAGTGGACACGTGTATGCTTAATGCTCTGTGTGAATAGTCATATTTTTATTGCCATAGAGTATGCATTACATAAAACTTAACACTGTAATCACTTTAGGTGTGTACTCACAATGCTGTGCCATAGTCACCACCATTTCCAGAATGTTCTCATCACAGCAAACAGAAATTCTGAGCCTCTTTAAACAGTAACTTCCCATGGCCTTCCTCCTCCCCCATCCTCCGTAACCTCTAATGTACTGCATGCTTCTATGACTGCCTATTTAAGAAACTTCATATACTGTGCCTATTTAAGAAACTTTATATATCTGTAGAATCATACAGAGTTGTGTGTACCTGTCTTATTTCACTTACTATGATGTTTTCCAGGTTTATACATGTTGTAACATGTATCAGGACTTCATCTCTTTCTAAAGTGATCATTATTGCATTGTACAAACATGCCACATTGTATCTATTCATTTTTCTCTTGATGGAAAATTGAGTGGATTCCACCTTTTGAGTATTATAAATAATGCTGCTGCTAACATAGGAATACAAGTATTTTTTTGAGTCCCTACTCTCTTTTGGAAATGCTGGATCATTTGGTTTAACATAACTGTTTGTCTTTTAGCAGCACCTGTATAAAATCAAACTTAATTTCCTGGGAGAACACAGAGAGAAGCAGCATCACCATCCTTTCTCCTTCATCTTTTACATGTAATCCATCTCTAAGCCCTAGAGATTTCCAGCCCTAAGAGTTACCTCAAGTTCAAACCTGTTTCCACCCCCATCAACAATAACCTAATCTATGTGACCATCATTTCTTTTTCCAAGGCCACTGAAACGGCTGTGAACTGGGTTTCTGCTTCTACTCCTGGCCTTTCCTGTCCATTCTCCCCTCAGGAGCCATTGCTCTCCAGAGAGCACACAACAAACTGAACTTGGTGATTTCCTGTGGTTGTAATCCTTCAGTGGCTTCCCAATGTGCGCAAACACATTCAAACCTTTCTCCCGGCCTATGAGGTTGTCGCTGTCCTAAGTCTGTCTTGGTCTCCTGACTCCATGCCAAGCTAACCTATGTTTTCAAGATCCCCTGTGAATGGATTATAGATATGCTCAAGATTGAGACACACAGACCTGGGCCAGGTACCTGCAGCTACAAGCACGTCGTCCATTGTTTTGTTATCAGTTTAGACTGAGGAGTTTCGCTTGAGATTTGGGCAGCCTGACACAGATTTGTGGAAATGCATGCACTTGCCTTTTTTCTTAGAGGCTCAGCTCATCTGTAAGCGCTCACATAGTCCTCAGGCCCCTAACCCACCCATGCTGGCAGCAGTCCTCAGCCGCTTAGTCATTACACCAAAATACACAGAAGTGGCCGTGTGCCACTAACAACCTTGGTTATATAATTTATTTACACTGGCCAGCATTGACCTTGGCTATGGCAGTTATTTACACTCCAGTAGCAGGAGATGTACCTGCCCAGAACCCAAATTCTCCCAGGTCCCCCTCTCCTGAACCAAAATACTACCATCTTATGATTTTCCATTTCCCTACACTCATCTGTGCTTCCTGCAGCTCCTGAGTGAAAGGATTTTGCCCTAGATAGGATACTACAGCCATGGGAGGCCAAACCAAGGGGCTCTATCTTGAGGTCATCTTCCCCACCCCTAGGCAATTTTACCTGTGGCGTGAAATGAGTTCCAATCAGCTATTTGTGCATCAGTAATACTCCTTAGGTACCACCCCAGACCAAAGCTATATGTACGCCCCTCACACCACGTGTCTGGTAGAGAAAGCCAGGTACCAGCAGTCATGGAGAGTCTCTCCACATCTTTAAAATAAAAGCCACTTTACTTTATATTCTGTCTTCTAACTACACCAAAAACTCCTTCACTGAGTGGTACCACTGTCTGTGTCAAAGGATGTGAACAAGGGGAGAAAGTGTTCCCCACCTTAGACTCCTCTCATGTTTACTAAATGCCCCAA